CGGAGCTATGTTGGGGCGGCAGCGGGGGTAAACAAACAGCCCGGGGCGCCGGGGGCCTCGGCCGGGAGAGCTGTGCTGAGGGGTGAACACAACCATCGGGGCTCTTTTACTCACCCCGTACACAACAGGCTAAAACCTGTGCAGCTCCCGTGTCCGGGCAAGCCTTGCTTCAGGCGTTTCTGGCTACTGATAAACCAAGAGTGAGGGGAGGGAAATATATAAGGAGCTTCTGATACGCTGAAATCCTCATTTGGAATCAAATGTGTAACGACAAGGGAGAGAGCTGAGCTTTGTCTCCATTTTACATAATTCTGCAGAATTTATCTGTTGGCTTCTAGGTTGCTGCAGTAAAGGCAAGAGATTCTCCCAAGGGGTATTTGAAATGAAGAAGACATCTGGAAGTTGAAGATTCATCCGCCAGTTTTCCAGTACGGACAGAGGCTGCAGCTCTGTGACCCTCTTTGCCAGATTTGTGCACTGCAGGATCAGTTGACTTTACACAAAAAGCCAGCAGGCTTACAGCTGCACCAGGCTGCCTCTTTTGATGCATTTAGGTAATTACAGTATGATCCTTTTAATAGCATTTTCCTGACTTGTCACCTGAAGTCCCATGCTGCCCTGAGTCCCAGCCCCTACCCCTTCCCTTTGGGGCCCATCTTTGTGACACCCAGGGGCTGTTATTAATGACCTCTATGGGATGAATTTCTTTTTTTCGTGCTTAGTCACTGACATCTGTTTCCCTGGCACAATACAGCACGTGATGGTGCTGACATCATAGCTTTATATGACTGCCCCCACAGTCACTCCTCAAACTGCAACAGCATGCAGAGTTCCAAAAATGGGAAAGTTATTTCTGCTGCATGCAGTGATGAGAAAGGCTACCATGTAGCTAAAGGTTTGGTAAGGGCACTGTCAGCATCACTCACATCTTTCTTGGGTTTCAAAGATGCACATTTCTGTCCTGGGCAGAGGCAGTGTCTGTGAGAAAAGCCAGGATGATGCACAGATGGGAAAATCTGCAATACAGGGAGAACTTTGAGCAAGGAAAGACAATGCTGGTGATTATTCCTGTGGATCATAACCTTTGCCTGCTGAGGAAGATAAATGTTAGATGGCACATCTGAATGTAAGAGTGCTAATTTCATAGAGAGTTACAGTGCTTTAACAGGTGCCATGGGAACAGCCTGTTCTGTTCTGTCAACACCAGGACTCTCCTGTCTGCAGAGTGAATGTGTACACAAAGCTAAACCAGCAAAAGGTAGTGCTGGAAAAGGCAGTAAGCAGACTTCTAAAATTTTACCTCCATGAAAACCAGCTTGTAGTGAGAGAAAAATAAAACTGAAAATAACTTCAGTTTCAACAAAACTGAATAGAGAAGGGAGGAAGGGGCAGGAGTGCCCCTTTAAGGAAGAGCTGCCCAATTTAGCAGTGCAAAGCTGCAGTTTAAAAAGCCTTGTCCTTGTAACTGCCAAGCAGAATTCTCCCTGCATCAGAACACTGGATGAAAAGCATCAAAACTCAGGAGAAGATTCAGAAGACAACAATCCCTCTTTAGGACATTCCTGCGTTACCTAAGTCTGTTGCCAGCAAAAAGGTGACATACTCTTCTACTCTCATGGATTTCTCACGTGAGGGTCATGAGCAAGCACCTCTGTTTCCTACCCAGTTTCTCCAAGTTTTCTGTAAACAGGCAGTGCTGTTCCTCCCTCTGCCTTGAGGTTGTCTGAAGACCACGTAGGCCTTGTTAATATTATTGCTGCTGGCTAGCCCAGTAGTGTCCATGTGCCTACATTCCTGCAGTTCTGGTTGTTGAAAGCCACTCAAACAGGCTAAAATTCTTGTAGTTTATTAATCAAGGGAATTAAGTAGATATAGTTACTATTTGGAAGTGAGAAAGTCATGAGGCAGCAGAAGATTAAATGAAAGTTGAAACAAATTCTCAGCCAGATACGATTAATGTCTGCTTGTGGAAAACTGTTGATAAGGAAAAACTCTTTGCTGTCTCTTCCAAATTTAAAAAATTAGTAATTAAAAAAGTAATCAAATGAAACTAATGAAGTTCAGGTCAAAATGTGCAAAAAGATGTATTTCTTCACCAACTGTTAGTAACCTGTGGCATAACTTGCTGCAGGATGCTCTGGATACAGGAAGTTTATATGGCCTCACCCTACAGGCAGTTTTAAACCAGGGAGGAAGAGGAAACAGGGAAAAAAGGAACAAGAGAGAAAAAAAGAGACTCCAGTTCAGAGACTGCCTAGCATTGCTGAAGACCTTCTACAAAACCTGCTGTCCCACAGATCCACAGTGAAGCTGCTGTATAAGCCATGTAGCCAGAGACTCAGCACTTTGCCCAGTTCTGCCAGACTTCTGGAATGAATGCTACTGGTGAATATATTTGTTACTTCTTCCATCATGGTCATCTGTGTTATTCTCCTCTACTGTTCTTTGTTTTCTCCTTTCCTGTACTCTTAGTTATCTATGAACTCTCTGTTCTGTTTTTTTCCAAGCTCCATGACTAACTAAACTAACATATTTCTGTTACTGCTACATAAGTGTAGCTCTCTCAAAAGTAGCACTAACGGGGGTTCAAGAACAGCTTTACAAAAGTCTCAAGTAGGTAGCAAACACTGAATAGAGAATTTAATCATTGAGCACCAATTGCTTTTCTTCAAAATATTTGGAAAAAGAAAATGGAAATTTACCAAAAAATAATAGAATAACACATTCAGAAATGAGTTTTTCACAGGTTATTATTTTTTTTTGTTTGTTTTTCCACTTTTTGGGAAAGCTAAGCTTTTTGAATTGCTCAGATCTAAAAATATAGATTTCTTGTATCTTAGTGTCAGGCTGAGAGCCCTTGCCCACCACCCAGAAGTATATTTAGCAAGTAGAATCTTTTTTTTTGGCAGACAGTAATTCAGGGTGAAAGGTGCTGCCCTGGGGCTGTGTCACTGAGCAGTCAGTAGAGTTCGGGAGCCTGACTGGGGCTGCTCTTCCACAGCCCAGACAGACCCTCACAGCCTCACCAGCCTTGTTTCAGCTGGCTACTGCCAGAATGCCCTGGATAACAGCTCCTCACTCTCATCCTTTCTAGCCAAATGTAATAATTAATATCCCATTAATTATAGCTCAGCAGCAGGATTAAGCTAGTCCTGAAGGTACCTTAGGTACAGGGGGATCTGTAGCTCAACAGGGAAGTTGCAGACTTTACTTTTTGGCTCAGGTGAGTGTGTGTCCCATAGCTGTGGCTCAGGAAGAAGGAGCAGAGGCAGGAACTGATCATCCCCTCTTGTGGACATGGAGCAGGCACTGCCTGTCTCTGCAGTTTGCCACCCTGTGAAGCAGAAGGCACATTGACCACAGAATAGTGCACCATCACATCAGATCATATCCCAGAAGGAATGTAATACTGACAAGGCCTTTTGCTCCATCGCATTTTTACATTATCTACGAATGCAACAAGGTTTAGGTCAGCTTTTATGCTAATTTATGCCAGCTGCACGTGGGCAGCTGGAACCTGGTCCAGCATGAAGATTACAGGTACAAAGTGGAAAGGATAGTTTTTTTCCTTGAATTAATATTTGAATCATCAGAACAAGTTTATACCAGCTGTAAACTGTAAGTGTTTACTTTTAGATGCCAAATGCAAGCAGATGAGGAAATCTCAGACCACTGGGAGAGTGAGCTGTAGACTGCTACAAAAACACCTTATGGGGTCAAAACTATTTATAAACCTTCAGAGAGCAACAGGAGATCATCTGCAGGATCGTGTGTCCTTCCTTGTCTGGCCCTTTTCTGAAAGCCATGTAAACCCCTTTCCGATTTAACTTCATGTTAGAGCTACCCCCAAATACAACAACTGCCATGCTCTGCCATTACATTTCCAAGCAGCTTAAATCATACTATGTCTTTGTTTTGACAAACCACTTTCTTTGTGTACAAAGATCTAGGGACTAACACTGGCAACAGTTTTTGTTTTCAGCAGAGGGCAGATTGCAAACACTGAACATGTGTGACCATTTTGCTTAATTGAGACACAGTACTCACTTTAAACAGAGTATGGAGAACATAGGTCATAATAGAGGAAGAATAGGATGAAGAAAGTTCACCTTTTCTCAAGAAAACAGCACTTCTAATCCTTAAACTCTGCAAAGTTACTAATGAACCATTCCTGAGAAATCTCCAACATCCCAAATGCCTGATTTCCTAGTGATGCAGTGATTTTTTGATTGGCAGACTTCAAAGGTCAGAAAGGCAATGGAACAAAAGATTAAATCATCAATTTTTAGACACTTTCATTCAGTAAACTGGTCAGATGCTTCTGCCAACAGGGCAGGCAGTCAAGATCAAGACATTTCAAATGAATACAACACTACTTACTGCAATAACTAAGTTATCAGGCAAGAGAGGGAAATGAAGATGTGTTAACCCTGACCATAATAAATCTTAGTCCATTTTTAAGCAACTAGGAAAATGCCAAAGTAAAATTAATTTTAAGCTGAAAGTACAACTTTTTTTAGAGTTTGCACTCCAAATAGCTCATTGACAAGCCTAGAAGCAATTCCTTTGGGGAATCAGGGGTCTCTTCTTAGCGTGGAATCATTCAACACCTGCATTAATAATCTGTTAAACAGATTAAAGCATGTAGTGTTAGAACATGCAGGTGAATCAGGCTGGGAAGAGTTTCAAATACTCTGAAGACAAGAAAAGAGGGTGTAATATTTAAAGGCCAAGTTATGAAGTGAATGGCAGAATGACAGTAAGGCAAGATTTAACAAGAACTTCAGTTTCCTCAGCAGACTACACCACCATTCATAAAGAGGAATATATATTGTTTTCTGCTGTATTTGATGAATAGAAGTCAAACCTTTGTGGAAGGCTGGAGTGTCATCAATGCTGTAAGTTCCTTCTGTTCATCTCACCCTATTTTCACATGCAGTTCAAGTCTGGGGAGAATAATACAAGCCAAATCAATGGTGTGTTTATTTCTTATTGCTAGGACACAGTTAAATTGAGGAAAAAAAACAACATTAAAACATTTTATCACATACTTACCCAGTCCAGGAAAAGTGTCAATAGGCTGTAATTACAAGAGACTGTTTAAAATAGACATCACATTACATTTTTTTCTTTCTTGTTTTTGTTTTACATATAGTAAAACAAAAACAAGAAAGGAAAAAGCTTACACAAAAATATATATTCTACCTTTCAGGAAGTCAGAGAACCAAGTGTACCAAGTGCTCTGGAAAGGAGATATGATCAAATGAAGTGCAATTGAAAAAATCCAGAAAATTTGCAAATGCCACGACTACAACCAAATGTACTGAGATGAAAAGAGATGCAGTGGAAAGGACCAAAAGTTGCTTAAATTGTTCCCACTGAAATCCCAAAAGCAGGCCAGAAAGGTAAATAAAGAGACAGGAGAAGAAATGGAAGAAATTAAATGCTTAAAAAAAAAAAGGAGAAAAATCTGAAATTAAGAAAAACAGTAAAAGTGAATGGGATGACCTGAAGTGCAGGGAAAGGCACCAAAGCTTGCCCAACTGATCCTCATTAAAATGACAAGATTTCATCCCTTTCAGAAAGCAACTGGAATATATATACACATAAATATGACATTATGCTTCCTTCAACCTTCTGATGGATGTTGCTGGAAAGCAAACTGTATTGTCAGTACCTGTTTAACCATCCAGGAATTATGCATAACTTGCATTGTATTTGTATGTCACTTTAGTTACTTGGAAAAGATGTGTATATATATAAGCACTATAACTCTTTGCATGTTCTCATACCAGTACCAAGGTGTTTCTTTTGCTATTGCCTAAAGATACATGTATACATCATCTTTCTATAGATGTCATTTGATGCCACAGTCACTTCAGTGACAGGCCTGTTTCTGGAGGATCCTGCTCCCAGCTTCTCATTCTTGCTGTTCTCTCTCCTTCCATTTTACCAACTCAACTTTCAGGGCTACTCTAATAATAATTATTTTGGTTTTTTTGAACCAGAACTATCACAGCTTCCCCTTGACAGGGCTGTGCTGTCAGAGGAGTACTAATGAGATCCACATCTCACCACATTCACACCAGAGAATTTATCTCTGAAGTGCTTATTCCTTACTGGGGACTGTGCCACCAGGTAACATCAAGCCCTTGACCTTTAAACTATCCCATGATCTGTGTGACAAATACAACGACACAGAGCTAGAATAATTAGTGATGGCACTGGAATTCACCCTTCTGCAAACCCATAATGCCAGCCAGCCAAGCCCTCAAGAAGACAATTAATTCTCTGGAAATTTCCCTTGCAGCCACAAGTGCTGGAAAGGCTGTCTAAATGTAAGAGAAAATTAAGCAGATTTTGGCTTGTATTATCCTCAGACATGGATTCTGTCTTCATGAGCAAGGGGGTGTTTGGTGCCCAAAGCACTCTCATCTTCAGGCATTAAGGAGAGATCAGCACCAGCAACTACAGAAGTGAGGTGGGACGGCTCCCAGGGGGCAGCAGCTGGAAGGCTCAGGGAAAGACCTCTGCAGTGGTTCACCTCTTCTTTCTTAAGCACAGGGATTTGTCTGAACCATGCTACTCTCTGTAGACTTTAAAGGCCTGCATGAGGGTCAGCTCGGACCAAGCTAACCTCAGAGCCCTGACACTGGTGGGCAGCCAGCTGCAGTGCATGCCAGGCTGCAAGGCTCAGTAACTCATGCACATATTCCACCTGCTACTCTAAAGTATTTGGCCACCACAATGTTCTGAATATGAGTCTGCCCAAAACAAAAGACATGATTGTGCAGATCTCTTTTCTATTTGGCATCATTTCTGCAGCTCTAAAACAGCCATGGCTTCTCTCATGCAGCCCCCTGAGCTGCACAGTGCATTAAATAATGCCACAACAGCTTTCCCAAGGGTCTGATACTGCTACATGACTCTCCAGCATCCCCAGTTTGCTAGTTCCCAGCAAATACACAAGCAGAAAAGTTCTCTTATGACTACTGTCAAATTCAGGCATTGAATGGCAAGGAGGAGAAGCAACAAGCACAGACTATTCCAGACAGGCAGAAAGCTGGAACACAAAGAGCCTGGCAGGTCAGTCCGTTCTTCATTACCTGCTCTGTCTCCTCACCATCACCTTCTGCCTTTCCACAGGAAAACATGTCCCCTCTCCAGCACAGAGACAAGCCAAGAGCCTTGGCTGCTGCTGTTCTCTGTGGGAAGTCACTTCAGTTTAACAAATGACATTACAAGACACTATATTTTTTTTGTCTGTTTAACCCATGTTTATGTTTCAGAATTTTCCTGTCACATTGAGTTACAAGCCCTTGAAGTAGGATAAAGACTCCTTTTTCTTCCCTGGGACTGTTCCTTTTGGATAGTAATAACAAACCTCCTTAGCTGTCCTGCACAGCTGAGATACACATATTTATCCCTTTTCATCTTTTTTTTGTAAGTCCTTCCAGCCTCTGATAATTTCACTTGTGTGACCCTTGCTTTGCTTTTCACATGTCTTAGACTCAGCTGCAAGACAGCTGATAAAATTGATAAATATCATGATGCTTAAATATGTTGCTGCTCCCACAGTGCCTCCCACCCCTCCCCATCTGTTGCTGGGAGGGTATCTCCTGGAAGCTCAGAAGCCTTTTCTTCAGGCTATGCTGAATTCATGTTACAAGGCTGATCATCCTCTGCTGCTCTGGGCTGTGCTGCTGAGAGGAAGGAAAATGAACTCCTTGTCTGGTGAAAAATGCTCTCCATGATCCTAGCTCTGCTGTCTGACTGAAATATGGACATAAAGCACTAGCTCTGGCAGGCAGCTTCATGGAAGAGAAGAGTGACTCGGGCAAAATACTGATGGGCTCTGCACTCAAAGTGTAACACTGTGACCAAACTGTATACAACAAAGGAACTTGAAGTGCTCCTGACAGCTGCACTGGGGCTTCAATTCTATTTTGGGTTGGGTTGTTGTTTGTTGGGTTTTTTTTTCCAAAGCTAGAACAAAAGAGGAAGAAAAACAAAATAAAGAAGAGCATTAAAAAATCATTCTCCATTTAAAGAAAAAACTATTTGAATGATTTTTTTTTTGATTTATCAAATCCTTTTCACATTCAAGGAAGAAAAGGGTGGCTTAAACTGACATCCTTAATTTCAACAGTAAAAGTAGCCATGGCTATGTCACAACTGGGTGCTTCATGATCTAGGCTCCACACTGTAGTAGATAGGTAGGTTCACAGAAGGAAATTCAGGCAAGATCTGCCTTGGGTGGCTTTGAAGCACCAGCCACAAGACAGTATCACATAAACTCCTGAAAGAGGGAATAAAGACCCTCACCAAATGATTACACTCCATTTTTGTTAAGCACATTTTTAACTTCAACAGCTAAATACCATACTGGCTCACAGCTGCTTTATTTACAGTTTCATTGATCTTACTCTGCTGGGAGCTTATAATGAATACCAGAGCCCACATCCCTCATATTTTCTATGGAGACAGGCAGAAGGAAAACACTTAAAACAAGGCAAGCTTTCTTTGAGAAGCAGGGGAGGGTGGGAAGCCCCCTCAAGCAGTAATATTCCCCTGCTCCCTCACCAGACTAAAAAGGAAACACATAGAAGTTATAAATAACTTATTTTTTTCTTGGTTATGGAACCCAATAAAATAAGAAAGATGTTTTGGACTTAAAAAAAGCAAAAAAAGTCCAAAAAAAGTTTGTGTTTTTGAAAATTTCAAAGGAAACTGCATCAATTGCCCAGAAAGGCATAATGTTTGGAGAATTTATTTACTCAGCCATTAACCTGGGTGGCAAAGCATCCCCCCTGTGCCCTGAGAGATCACCTTTGGGTTGCAGTGTCACCCCTGACACTGCTGGAGAGAGGCTGGAAATAGTCCTTTGTCTTCCCCCATTTACATCCCTTCCTTACTCCCTTGACTTCAGGTTAGCAATAAGATGCTGCTGGTGGATTTGTGCTGCTGGGGGAAGGGTCAAAGTGCAAGGTGGTGGGCATCCTCAGAAACTGCAAAAAGCAATCCCAGGTGTAAAGTGAAGATGGCTTCATACAAATGCAAATACAAATGTAGAACAGAGGGAGAAGCAAAGAAAGAAAAACATTTAATCTCCCTGAATCTCTCATAATTGTTTTTGCTAATTGCATGAGGAAGCTACAAGGCATTAATGTTTGCTTCTCAACTCACTGGGACCAGGCCCAGCCCATTAACTGATAAACCAACCAGAACAGCAACACACTTTGTTCCCCATTGCACTAGAAAGCAAGAAAACCTTATTCCAGTGCCTCAGAGGAACAGCACCGCACACCCCTGCACCCAGAGCCCTCTCACGCTCCATTGCATTTTTACCACCTTGTTCTGAAATTCCTGATTTTGTTGCCAAAATTCAGTAAAGAAGGAAGGCAACCTCCCTGCACTACTGCCAGAGTCCCCACGGACCTTTCTTAGGCTGGGAACAGCAGGGCCTCCATTTGATACCCGAGGGCAGCGCCCCGACTGCTCTATCTCAAAGCCATTAGCCGCAGGGCAGAGTAAGAAGAGAGTGATTGTGTAGCAGGTGCTCCCCTTGGTTCAGCTCCACAAGGACGACAATCAGCACCTCTGAATTACCTTTTCAGTCATTCCCTTCGGGCACAGCCTGGCTGGAATAAAGGGGCCATGCCTCGGTCGCCACATGCAGGACAAACAGGAGCTCGCAGCTAAAGCAGAGGTCTGCAAGAACACATGGGGAAGGTGTCATTAAAAGCATTTGTTTCCCTGCCTGCAACACAACCTCTGGTATGATCTGGAGAAGGTTACTTCAGTTTTCTGTGCTTTTGTTTTTCCCCTCTCCATCAACAAGGGCAGTATGGGCCTTCCCACCCACAGAGATATCACAAAGATAAAATTCCCAGTTATTTGTAAAACTGTGAAAAAAGCACAGGGAGGCAATAAGAGAAATACTGAAGAGTTTCACTAACAAATCAAGTATTTTAAAGCTTCCTGGAGGAAGCAATTATTTGGAGCCAGGTTACATTTATATGGGGAAACAGACTGTAGGATGGTAACAACTCTATCTTGCAGAGCTGAACCCAGGATAATAAATCTCCAGCAAACAGCTGTTACAGGGACATGTCTGCCATTCTGTGTAGGTGGCTCATGGAGATGGAGGAAAGTTGTGCAAGTCTGGAGTCCTGTTACTCATGGGAAGCACTAAACTGTCCTGAAGCACACAGGGAGAAGAGCACAAAATGGGAAACCCAGCATATCTACACCCTTGGGTACCAGGCTTCCACTTCTGGCTCCCATCCAGGAGCTGGTTCCATAGGAAAGCTCTGCTACTCCCAAATCTGACCCCTGATCTTCTCAGCATGAGGAGATTTTAAATGTGGGTTTAAAGAGGAACATATATACCTTCTAATCATGGGTAACATGTTATCCCTTCTTAGTGGAGGATCTGCCTGATGGGCAGAGCCAGGGCAGAAGCAAATCCAGCAAAGCTGCCGGCAACTCTGCCCAGTCCAGTCAGCTGCCACTGACCTGTCAGGAAGGTCGTGCACTGCCACTGCCGGCTCTCACTGCCACCTGCCCTGTCACCCCAGCTGCCACTGAACCTGATGAATAAGACAGGTCTCCCTGGTGCTCTCCGGTATTCAGAGGCTGCTCCAGCCCGCAACAGCTCCCCCCTCCTTCCCTGAGAGCATCAGCTCTGTGCCCAGTGACACTTGGCTGCTTGAGCTGCTGGGTGCTGTGGTTTGGCACATGTGGGGACACGGGAGAGCACGTCTGTCCCATGAAGTGTGTCCCCCAG